ACCAGATTCATGGAAAGACTTATTGATGTCAGTTGGTGATTTGTTTGAACAATGCTTCCATTTGCGATCTTCGCTTTAAAACAAAAATAAACATTTACGAGCAATTTTTTGGTAAAGAAGAATTTCAATGTGTTGCGGTCAAAAACCGAACCCGGCCCGGTTTGGGAGGAGATTCTTCTGGAGGTGGGAATAGAAAAAAAATACTGCGTCTGACAACGTTTTCCAACCTATACTCCAGCATTTCTGGAGTACAATTGGGTCTGTCGTTAAGAAAGAACAAACTTGGGGCAAGTGCTGTGACTGCAAACAAACCAGATGACATTTAGTTTGCAGCAGTCATCGACCATTGCACGCTGGATGGGTGATAAAAAGAGCAAGAGACATTAAAAAATCCAGTACAGCAAATCATCTTACCATCTAACTATGACCGGTTGATCCGTCCGTCAGTTAGTGAGTCAGTTGCTTTTTAAAAATGTATATATATGCAAACATAAATAAATAATAAATAAATAAATTTTATTGTCATTTTTAATTTTAATTTTACAGGGCCCACACTGATAACAGTTGTATAACTGAAGTGGCTACCCTGTATAAATATTTGTTAGTATTTTAATTGCGGTTTTTTCTGTTTTTAATTTTTTGTGCGCTGTTTGTGAGACTGGGGTTCAACCCCCAAAAAATCCATTCCAGATGTGTAGTGTCTCTTAATCTGATTTGTTGTTGGCAGTTTTGAATTTTCATGTGCCAGAATGACCAATTAGAATAAAATTAATACACAGTTCTCTGTAGAGTCATGTCATCAGTATATAATTCAGTATATAAGCCTGGGAAAAATTGAGTGCGCAAAGAGAAACATGTATGTTTCTTTTTGCGCACTCAAAACATATTATGTTTTCTTGTACCCAGAGTCAACGGTCTTCTAGGTCAGCAGTAGTCGTCACCAGGTTAGACTCTGGAGGAATGGAATAAATATGATTTTTTTTTATTGGCTGTTCGTGTAACAAGAAAGCCAGGGAGCAGAAGTGACCGGAATACCAGATTTCTGAGATTCAAAATTATATTCCCCCAGAGTTCCACCTGGAGACAACTAACCGCTGACCAAGGAGACCGTGGACTCTGGGTACGAGATTGGCGAATGCTAGGCAAAATAGCCGTGAATCATAACTGCCCCTTTTTCGCTGAACCCTTCATATTATGTACACATTCCAACAACAATAAAAGACTCTGAGTGAGTCTATTTCTTGAACTGCTGGTTGAATAGTAATTAGCATAACCCAGTGGCTGACTATTGGCAAACTTGCAATTTGATTGGCTACACAGGCACCTACTATCGATCGATAGACGGCTCTCGGAGCGCTTGCACAGTTGTTTGTGCATAATATGGCCAAAAAGTATTAAACAAAACCATCATTAATCAGTTTTATCGATATTCTATGTTAATAGATCAGCCACTCAGGGTTATACTAAAACAATATTAGACGGCTCGCTCTTGGTTTCTATCGACTTTGATAGTTGGCTCGGGGCTTCATCCCACACCAACTATCAGCTGATAATAATTATGATGCCTAATAATGCTTTCAAATTTATGAGCTTTTTGGCTGATGTGAAATTTTCACCAAATTTACTAGTCTTAATTGTATTGAAGTTTGCTATGATGTATGAAATCGATATTGCCATGGCAACGATAAACAGAAAACCTCAAAATCAATATAGCATTTCATCTTATAATTATATGGTATGGTCAAATAAAATATGCAAGAATATAAAAAAATGTTGTCTTCTTTGTACCACAAATGTTGAGAGCAAAATGTATAAATTGAGGCTTGTGCGGTTGCAATACCAATCGTCGATATTTTGTTGCTGTTGAGATTTGGCGAGTGTGTTTGTAACGTACATTGCTATTAGGATTATGCCACTTGCTTTTTTTTGGTGAGGGAAATGATGCCACTGAAAAATTTGATAAATGAAAAGTATTTCGTTTGTTTACATTTTGTTATGAGTTAATTACGACGCATATTCAACTTTAATTTAGAAAGACAGCGACTACAGTTTTGGAATTAATTTTATATGGCTATGGTCACCAATTTTGTTAATTTTATTTCCAGCAAAGTTTTCTAAAGTAGACCAATTTTCATTTCATTGCGAACTATTCGTTTAAAAAAGTAATTTACGATCATATTTTCCAATTTCATGGATTGGTTTTATCGACTATATAATTAAGTGCTCAGTGTCTGACAAGCTATAGACCTAGCCTACAGTGTACTCACTATCCAACAATAGTAGAAAGTGTTTGGGGGAACATGTTTTAGTGTCCATATTTTTTTTAGTGCTGTGCTGTGCTGGCTGCTCTGTGCTGTGCCAGTATGGTCAGTATGCGTACGTGTGTGTGGTCAACTTATTTTACTTCTGCTAGGCTTATGCTTGCCTACTGAAACCGATTTGAACGCAAAATTTAACAAGAGTTGACCAGAGTATACACCTTTTTGAAATGAAAATGCAACCGTTTGATCTGTTATTGACATTTTATTCGCCTAATTATTTTCAAGGCGAACTTGATCGTGCGTGAATCAAAACAAACCGGCCGCGTGATCTTACGACATAGAGCTTGACGCTATTGTCAACTTTAAAGTTATAGAACTCCACTATATCCAAATATATCCAGCTAAATTTTAGTTATGTTGTCAAAAATTTATCAGCCTTCAACTTATTAAAAAAATTGGAGAGGTGTTTTGTGGTGCTTTTTACACGACACAGCGGAAGACTAGTTGGTCATGTTTTAATTGCGCTACACGCATCTACTGCAGCCCTACTCATCGCCAATTTTATTAAATTATGATGGACATAGCGTACATTTATATTTACAGTCGAGGACTAAAGGTATTTTTTTCCTGTCCTTGCGTATTATATACGAAGCAGACGAAACTCCAGACTCGTAAAATTGAAAATAAAACACGATTTCCGGTTTCTTCGAAGACACTTTTTGCATCGCCATTTTGCACCGGAAAAGCGGTAAGAGCGCTCGTGCCAGTCCTACTCCCGCATCACACATTGCGTGAAGAGCGGACCGCCGGTTTCATCGCCCAGCCTTCTCCCGCCCTGGGGCCAGCTCTAGCTGTCCGCCTTAGTGAGGTGTCCGCCTTAACGAGAGTTAAGTTACAGGTAAATTTAAATTTACCATCTTTCTTACCACATATGACGCTTTCGATATTACTAATCTTAGCAGTATGCAGGATGTATGTCACATATTAAGGTTATTCATTAGTATTGCATTGCGCATCCGTACTGCGCATGATTTCAGCACGTAATTAGCGCGCGCACATTAAGAGAATGGCGGCTTTTCCTTACGGCTAAGCTCGCCAGAGAGATAAATCGTCGTTTTCTCGTAACGAGTATACCTGGGCCCAGAGGTTTTCTTTCTTTTCTTTTAATCTTGAGCCGCGAAGCGGCGAAAAACAAGCCGCGAAGCGGCGGAAAGCGAGTCGCAGAGCGACGAGAAGGAAACCTCTGGGCGCAGTGGCTATGCATCTCACTTCCATGCTGGAATTTAGGTCAAGATCTGACCCTCGGGCTCTGATTGGTAGATATTTTAAACGAGCCACGCAATCAATCTGATTGCTTTGCATGATTGAAACCACCGAGGGGAAGGTGAGGATGTTTGTCACACATCACTGCGTGAGGTAAATTTGACACTCACTACCGGAGAGGATAGCTTGTACGTGATCAAATTAACGTCGCTCCGTAGCACACGTACACGCTTTTATCGAGAGATATTTTGCTAGTAGCCCATCTATACGTCTGCGAAAAGAAATGAGTTTGAGTCCCGAATATTGTCGCGCCGATCCCAGCTGTTAGATTTCTTAAAAAAAAATAAATTAAATAAACTGTTGGAATAGTGTTGTTTATTGTCGCGACTTCAGTTACAGTGCGTTCGTCCTGATCCAATTACAGCCGGGAATTATAGAGATGTTGGGTTTGACTCAAAGCTACTCAATTGTGTGACGCGGTTTCGATCCATCATTTGCTGGCATTTGTTTTGTATATTATAAATGTTTTTGCAACTCGGAGATTATCAAATACGAGAAGATCGCGCGTATAAAGTATATATCTCTTGACAGCCGCTTGACATGACCCGACCAAACCGGAAAAAGGTCAACTGACAAATTACCAGTCTTCACCACCCAAGTGAAGAAAATATTCGCGTGAACAATATACCTTGGTCTACCCCCACTGAACAAAATAAACGGCTGATCAACACGTGATATCTTAATTGCCATTGGCCGGCTCTTTAATTACTATTTTGAAAATTTGACAGTTGGCGTCAGCATGGAAATGAGATTCGTATCCACTGCCACCAGAGGTTTTCTTCTCTGCCGCGTCGCTTTGATCGCTTCGATCAAGTTCAGAAGAAGAAAGAAGAAAGAAAACCTCTGGGACCAGGGTAAAAACGAGTACGGTGACCTATCAATTTTTTCTCTTATTTTGAGTCTAGCAATCACCTTCTTTCTATAAAATGAATATAGACTAATTTCTATTGCAGAAGAATAAATAATCACCGGAAACGTGAACTTAGCCAGTACTCGTGAAAATATATTGTGGCTCGAGAACACTGCATGCTAGGAACAAGTTGAATCAGTGTCGATTAAAAATGCGTGCCTTTATCATAAAACATACATTAAATTGTTCCTTGAAGTCGATGCAGTATATTTATTGTTATATTCCACGTTTTGCTTTTCTCCCTATTTTTTTCTGCTCCCACGAAACGGTGAACGGTTAAAATAAAAACGTTTCTGGAAGCTGATATTGTACGGAATTATGGGGTATTACAGGGTCCTCCTGCTCCTAAACGAATACCGGGACCCCCCTTTTTTATTTCAAAATTTAAGTTCCCTTAAGATAAACAACCAATAGGCAAAAGTTTGAATGAAAATCTATTGTAAGTTCTATTTCGATGGAATGAACTTAACATAGTAAATAATAATAATAACCTCGCTCGCGACGAGTCTCCTGTAGCTCAGTGGTTTAGAGCATCCGAGCGGTGGGCGGAAGGTCATGGGTTCGACTTCCGTCGGGAAATCAGATGTTTTCTTTGTCCAACGCTCGTGACAAACTAAAATATCATATTTCTCAATTCTTTCAATTTTGGGCTAGTTAACAAATTAATCATATGCCAAATACAAAATTAAATATGAACAGAAAAGTTCACGAGCTGCGTGGCAGCAAATGAAATAAGTGTCAACAAGAAAATTTTCGTTTGAAGCATTATCCAAGACATCAATACTTAAGTGATGCACGAGAGAGAGAGAGAGAGAAATAAAATAAACGCAAGTCAGAATTCAGTCCGCCGCGGCTGACTGGTTCCAAGTCAGAAAAAAATAGAAAATGAAAAAAACAATCATATTTCTTGAAAAATATATTTTTCCAAATTATTTTGAATGTTTTTAAAAAACAAATTAAAATGAAATTTTAGGGATTTTTAGGGCATTATATTTTCCTTTCGACTTCCCCTTTTAGAAATAAAAGTAAGAAAACTTTGGTCGTTATGGCACATACCCTTCCCAAATTAGGAATCAACCAATCAGAAGCTATATCTTTTATCCTGATTTCCTACGATATCAAATCAACAAAAATAGTTCAAAAACGACAATATTCGACAGTCCTGCGTCAAATTCACAGCTGGAGAAAGGAAGGAAAACATTTAAAGGTAAGATGATGGAAATTCTGACCATAAACAAGAGATAGGAATACGGTAAAGTTCTCAATCAAATTGCCTTACCTTCTTTTCACAGTGTTTTACTGGCTGTCTATGTTGTTGTTTTGCTGTTTTAAAGGCGGTTTTAGCAATTTTTTCGATTCTGTGTCTTTGGAAGGAGAGAAACAGATTCGAAAAAAAAATCGATTTAAATTAGCAAAACAAACAGAACAAACAACAAGTAAAACACCATGGAAGGAAGGTATAAGGCAATTTAATTGAGAACCTTATCCTATCTCTTAGAATTTATTTGTAAAATTATAATACAAACCCTTATATTTTAGCCCGGATTACAAGCTGTACGTGGGTTGGGGTGGGATAGGGCACTCTAAGTTACGGTTTTTCGAGGCTATCTCTTCCCAAGTTTTACTTGCTTCTTGTCATTTGTGACACCAAAATCTTCGCCTGCGAACGCCCCTTTATGGAGAATTAAATTGAAAGTGTAATGAGGGACAGCTACAGCACAGTGCAAAAGTAATGCAAGCGAGTTTTGATGGCTTTCGTGCCTTGTTCTCGCGAAGTTTCGACTGAAATTTCGAAAAGATTCTAATCCGGCTTCAAAACGAAATTCGACGATATTTCCGAAAATTCGAGGATGCGAAATTTCGCGGATTCTCGCAGTTTGCAAGCGAAATTTCGAACTCGAACAAAACGAAAAAACAAAGTGGCAATTCGTACATGGAGTTACAAAGGGAACAAACCCGTGCATCACGTTTAATTAACGGCGGCAAGCGTTTAATTTTCGCGAGTCAGTTTAATTTCGCTCATTTTTTTCAATCGTGAAAATCTCGAAAATTAGTACTCGCGAAAATTAGTAAGAATAAGGTATTTTGGGGGCGTTTTTTTCGGCTTATTCCGATATAATAAAATGAAAAGGTTGATCATTCCTGCGAAATCTGAACAAAATCGAACTGGATTCAGTTCGATTGCGTTCGATTTAGTTCGATTGTTCGATTGGTTCGATAATCGAACTCACACAAAAGTAAATGTTAGATCAAGTGATGTTCGATTGCCGAACCCAATCGAACGCCAATCGTTCGATTGAATTCGATTGGTTTTCAGTTCGATTTTGTTCAATTAGACACCCCGGGGATTATTATAGCAAACTATAAAATCATATAGCACCTTTACCCAGCATCTTTTTTCAACACAGTTGAGCAACAGTTTGGAATCTGTTTCATTAATAAAATATTCCCTACCTTTATAGTATATGGTGTAAAATAAATATTTCAATGTGTGGTAATAAAGAAATATAGTAAATTTGTGCGCCTAAATAGCTAACTTTCGAGCTTGAAATTTATCATCTTTCTTACCACACATGACGATCTTGACATTACTGATCTTAGTAGTATGCAGGATGTATGTCACATACGAACCTAGTAAATAATAATAATAATAATGACCTAGCTCGCGACGAGTCTCCTGTAGCTTACAAGCGGTGGGCGGAAGCTCATGGGTTCGACTTCCGTCGGGGGACTCAGATTTCTTCTTTGTCCAACGCTCGTGACAAACTAAAATATCATCTTTCTCAATTCTTTCAATTTTGTCTAGTTAACAAATTAATCATATGCCAAATACAAAAATATGAACAGAAAAGCTCACGACCTGCGCGGCACTTGTATACGTAGAGACAAGAAAAATATTTCAGTTAAATGAAATAAAAGTGTCAAGTGTAGAACGTGAAAATTTTCGTTGAAGCATTAGCCACGACATCACTGACTTAAACGATGCACGAGAGAGAGAGAGGGGACACGACTAACTGGTTCCAAATTAAATCGGAAAAAACATAGAAAATCGTGAAAATTCTTGGAAAATATCTTTCTAAATTCATTAAAATTTCGAAAATGAAAGAAAAATGATTTTTCTTTTCGTATCAATTTTTCACTTTCCCAAATAAATAAAACTTGCTGTGTTGTTTGTCTTGCTGTTCTAGGTTTTTTCTGCATTCAGCTTTTTACTTCGCATGGATGTTGGAGGCATGTTTAGCATCGTTATTTCCGCCGTGCAATCATTTCACTTTATATTAGCAGTTCTAATGAATTTAGAGATAGTTATAGAACGACATTTGATTAGCCGAATAACTCCATCTGAATGAAATTAATTATTCATGACGTAAGAAATATCAGTTATTTTTTAGCGATGAAAACGCTTGCTAAAAAATCATAAGAAACCGATCGACGTGTTCTATTTTCCTTTCGACTTCCCCTTTTAGAAATAAAGGTAAAAAACTATGTTCGTTATGGCCACATTACCGTATCCAAATTAGAATCAACCAATCAGCTTTATCTGCCATCCTGATTTCCTACGATATCAAGTCAACAAAAATATTTCAAGAACGACAACATTCGACAGTCTTTTCGTCAAATTCACCGCTGGAGAAAGGACGGAAAACATTAAAGGTAAGATGATTGAATATCTGACCGTTAACAGTTAATTTTCAAACCTTAAACATTCAAGACAGCGGGGTACAAATGCACACCGACATCGACGTTCGGAGCTCATTTTGACTCGAGCAAAATATTTTTTTTGCGTTAAACGTGAATTAGCTGTAGCTGTAATTTACCTAGCGTAAATTAGCTGCAAGCTCTCGGCCAATGAGAATACAAATAAAAAGAAAAATCTATAAAAAATCACATAGATTTTATCCGCCGGCCTTGGTCGGCCCGTATCAGTTGTGAAACAAATTTTTCCTACTTGGTTTGGTAATGCAAGAAATCTTGTTTTATAAAATATGTTTTGCACGCGCGCGCGTATTCCTTTAGCTTATCGCGAAGAATACCAAAATATGCAATTACAGAAAGGTATACTGTAGCTGCACAGGGCAGACGATGGAGACTCAAACGGAATTTCACCACAAATAAAAGCAGCTGAAGTGAGAAAGCTATTCTCACTGGAGCCCTCGTGCACAAACGCCCCTTATAACTCGCTAGAATTCTAGTTTATTATTATTATCCCCGTGCAGCCATTACCCCATGGGATGGAATGGTTTGTTATGCTAATCAGTTACTGGTTTTGAATAAAATGGTGTTTTTTATCCAGTTTATTCGTCTCTTCGTTCATACGCCACCAGATCCGCTTGGCGCTTTTTCATTTTTTCAATTCATCGCTGCGCCTCGACTTCTTCTTCTTCTTCCTTTATGGCGGACAAGCTCTACACGGGTTCTGCAGAAGCCTGCACAAGTTTCTGTCATAGCGCCGCAATTGCTGCACTAGCTGTTGAAGCTCAAGACGTTGCTGTGGAAAACAACGTGTTCAGCAACGGCGAATACTGTTCGTGCGGCTGCCAGCATGGTTCAGGTTTTTCGGTTTCCCCATTCTCGTTTTATCTCGTCTTGCGTATATTTCAGGGTCTTGTTTTGGGTGGCGTTTTATATTCAGTTTTATACAGTTTTCGGCAATTTTAGTTTTCTGCGTCTTTATTACAAATTTTAGTGTTTGGGTCTGTGTGACAAATATTCAAGTTTTCCAGTGTTTGTGACAATTTCAGTCTCTGTTACAAAACTTTCAGTTTTCAGTCTCTGTGACAAACGTTTCAGTTTTTAGTCTGTACAATTTTAGTCTGTGTGACAAAATTTCGGTTTTTCAGTCTGTGTGACAAGTTTAGTCTGTGTGACAAACCTTTATTTTCAGTCTGTGACAATTTTAGTCTGTGTGACAAACCTTTATTTTCAGTCTGTGTGTCAAGTTTAGTCTTTGAGACAAACCTCTATTTTCAGTCTGGTGACAAACCTTTATTTTCAGTCTGTGTGACAAGCCTTTATTTTCAGTCTGTGTGACAAACCTTTATTTTCAGTCTGTGTGACAAACCTTTATTTTCAGTCTGTGTGACGAGCCTTTATTTTCAGTCTGTGTGACGAGCCTTTATTTTCAGTCTGTGTGCCCAATTTTAGTATGTGTGACAACCTTTCTTTTTCAGTCTGTGCGACAAACGTTTATTTTCAGTCTGTGTGACAAACCTTTATTTTCAGTCTGTTTGACAATTTTAGTCTGTGTGACAACTTTTTATTTCAGTCTGTGTCACGAACCTTTATTTTCAGTCTGTGTGTGACAAACCTTTATTTTCAGTCTGTGTGACAATTTTAGTATGTGTGACAACCTTCTTTTTCAGTCTGTGCGACAAACGTTTTATTTCAGTCTGGTGACAAACCTTTATTTTCAGTCTGTTTGACAATTTTAGTCTGTGTGACAACTTTTTATTTTCAGTCTGTGTCACGAACCTTTATTTTCAGTCTGTGTGACAAACCTTTATTTTCAGTCTGTGTGACAATTTTAGTCTGTGTGACAAAACTTTATTTTCAGTCTATGACAAATTTTATTTTCAGTCT